CATGCACTCGCCAGAAAAAGAGAGACAGAGAGACAGAAAGCAAGAAATCACCCCCCCAGGGGGAATGGCCATGCCGCAATCCCATCTCCTCCATTTTCCTCTTGGGATCTTGGGCACGCATGCACAAGCACCCTTTGTGAGTTTAAGCCACCAGGTTTGGGACTCGAACTGTGGTTGACTATCTGGGAGTCCAGTGATGTAGCCATTACGCCAACTGCTGGTCCCACAGCACTATTTTTGTATCTTCATGTAAAGGAGAATTCCTATTGCTCCAAATCTCAGTGATCATTTTTTTTTTACAGTATTATCACAATTATAAGTACATAGTGGTATTGCCTTGTGCTTTTAATGTGTATTTTCCAGTGACAAAAGAGGGTAAATTTTTTTTTAATAAATTTACTTACTTATTTTTTTAATAAACTTATTGTTTTCTTTAGTGAAGTGTGTAAGTAATAAAGACAGAGAGAGACAGAGAGACAGAAAATGAGAAATTACCCCCCAGGGGGATGGCCACGCTGCAATCCCTTCTCCTCCATTCTCCTCTCGGTATGTTGGGCACGCACGCACACGTGCCCGGCCTGAGTTTAAGCCACTGGGTCCGGGATTCGAACCGCAGTCGACTACATGGGAGTCCAGCGAAACAGCCATTACGCTAACTGCTGGTCCCAGTATCTTGCATATTTTAAAAATCATGGTTTACTTTCTTGTTGAGTTTTAAGAGAAAGATTAGATATAGACACACACACACACACACATACACACACACACACACACACACACATAGATGAATGAACAGAATGGAAAGCCTGGAAATAGGCTATAAATAGAGTCAACTGATTTTTGATACAAATCAATGATACAGATGCAATTTAGTTGAGAAAGGACAGTCTTTTTACAAATAGTGATGGAAAAATTGAACATCTGCCAAAAACTGAACATAACTATACATAACTCACACCTTATAGAAAAACAAAAACAAAAAACTCAAAATGGACCAAAGACCTTTTTATATCTTAAAACTCAACAAGGAGGAAGAATAAGAAATTCATGGTTGTAAATGAAATTATGATGAAAGAAAAGGCATTACAGGTAACCTTTAAGATGTACTTAACAATTATGCACTTGTGTTTAATAATCATACATACTTGGGTTTTATGTATTTATTTTTTTGGAGAGGTTTTTGATATAGGACACGTGCACTCACCAGAAAGACAGAGACAGAGAGATAGAAAGTGAGAAATCACCCCTGAGGGGGAATGGCCACGCTGCAATCCCTTCTCCTTCATTCTCCTCTTGGGATTTTGGGCACACATGCACACGCACCCGGCATGAGTTTAAGCCACCGGGTCTGGGACTTGAACTGCGGTCAGCTACATGGGAGTTCAGCGACATAGCCATTATGCTAACTGCTGGTCCCATTGGGTTTTATTTTTTAAAATGATAGTAGCAATGTGGTTATAATCTCTGCAGTTGCCACTGAAAAGACCTGTGTGTAACTTCGCAGTACATATTCAAATGAATTTTTGAAATCATCATATTGTAGATTATGTTTAGTATATATCACCACAGTTTTAACTTTCATTCATGGATCATATGATTATAAGAGAAGCCTGTGTCCATTTTACTGATTCTTAAATGTTTTTCCCTCTCCATTCCTGCAGAAATGCTGAGCCGATTATCAGGGTTAGCAAATGTTGTTCTGCATGAATTATCAGGAGATGACACTGATCAGAACATGAGGACTCCCTTAGACCCTGTGAGTAGCTCTGTTCTGATTTAAGCTGACAAGACATACGTTATGTTTTGTGTTCTTCTAAGATAGAAGGATCTGAGCAACCTCCCTTGTGCTAGGTTAAGTCAAGATAAATACTGAGACTTTGTAAATGATCCTTCTCCTCTAAGTTTATAGTCTAAGAGCCACAGTTACAGGAGCCAAGTCCTGGGTGAGATTTAAAATATTTTTTCTATGTATCTTTTAGGGTCTTATTTGGTGCCAAATTATTTTAAGTTCTTAGTCTTGGGTCAACTCAGAACTGAACTCAGGGCCTTTGCATGTGGCTTCAGTATCACACAGTGGTACCCTACAGCCTATACTACCACGCAGGGCTTTTATAAATTCATCTACCACTTCTCTTGAAGTTTGTATTGTATTTTCTGAGAGCCACACAAGGAATCAAATGAAGTTCTTTAATTTTCTGAAAATACAAGCAGTAATGCCTACTGATGAAATTTCAAATGCTGAGCTCTTCCACTTCATGGTTTCTGATCTCTTTGATTTCCTTTATTTTTTGTTCTTTGATAAAGTTAGAATAATAATACCTTAAATGAGATAATGTGTGTAAAATGCTTTAATATTTATGAAATACTCAATATATTGTAATGGCTATAATATTTTTATTTTTGGATCAGAGTTAGAAAGATTCTTAAGTTAAAAAGAATGTAAGTTGAGGAAAAGATAAGTTGGAGTGAAGGAATTCCTGTTTCAAATGCATTTCCCCTGAAATATTGCCAACTTTTTGTCTAAATACTAGGAATTACCACAGGAATCAGACATGGAATTTAATAATAGAACACAAGAGGATGTTCTGGAGCGCCTGGCTTATTCAGAGCAGCTGGTGGAGGAGCTAAAAGAGATTATTAGGCAGAAGGATGCTCAACTCCAGGAGAAGGATGAAGCCCTACAGGTACCATTGTTTTTATCCTTTCTGGTAGCACATTTGATAAAGGACAGATACGCCATTCACTTAGCTGTTTCTCTGCAGTTTGATTGTTAGAGAATCTGATTCTTATTTCCTTAATCCTGTACCATGATGACTACTGAAAAGAATGTCTATACTAGATAAGTGGTGAATAAACATTTATATATTTGTCATCATTATTCTCTGGCAGGAAGAAAGAAAGGCAGCCGATAATAAAATAAAAAAACTAAAACTTCATGCTAAGGCCAAATTAACCTCTTTGAATAAACACATAGAAGAAATGAAGGCGCAAGGAGGGACTGTAGTGACTGCAGAACTCCCGTCAGAGGAGCAACACTCCAAGGTATGGTGACTAGGTATAATACTGGTTTTGCGAGTTGCAAAAGCCTCCCAGTATAGCAGATCTTCACTGATCACAAACATTCCCAGTGCTCAGATAATACAGTACTAAGTGCTAACCTTTCTTGAGCTTTTAGTCCAGCTGGACTATGGACCATGCCCAGGCAGAATAAAAGACCTACTGAAAACATGGACATGAAGTACCAACTGTGACCTAGACTTTCAGAGAATTTAAAAAAAGAGGTCAGTAGAACTAAGTACTGAAGTAGACATTTAGAGAGGAGAAACAAATACTTTTTGGAGACGTTTCAGTTTCATCATTGCTTAGAAGATTTTCTAAGGTTTTTTTTTTTTCAGTTCTGAAATCCTTTATTAAATTCAGTGGCTTGATACAGAGTATTTTACATCCTCATAAGGCCATGTGATGGTGAATAAATTTCTTGCACTGAATCAGCTAGATTGGAACTTGGAGTCCATGTAAGGGGGCTCTCTAGATTTTTGACTGCCACCAACAAAAAAGTTAGAAGTTAGGAATATAGAGAGGAATAGGGAAGTATTGCCTTTTGAGAATACAACATTGTCCCAGTATTCATTTTTATTGTCTTTCCTCTGTGGTTAAGCGCCAGGTATTAACAGTCAGCTATTTTGAGAACAAGAAACTTGGGTTCTGTGGAGAGTTTGGTATGGATTATATGGCGGCAGCTGTAGTATGCACTCTCTAGTTGTAGAGTTCACCTGGACTTTACCCTGCATATGAGATCTTTCTGTATTCTTAGTTTTGTTCTGCACTTTGCTTCAACCTACTGGTATTCTCAATGTTCTTAGTTTTAGGAAACAAAGTTTTAATCAGTTCTCTAGGTATAATCCTTGGGGTCACTAGTTAGCTCCCCAGTAGTCTGGTTAGTTTTTCCTTTTGGGGTTAATGCTTAGAAAATGTTACTCTTCTTGAATTGATAACCTTATCTAATTTCTCAAAGTTTATTTTAAAAGCTTTTCTCAATATCTTTAAATACGTTTTTATCTTGATTCTTTTCTTTTTAGTTTCCTTTTGACTGTTCTCTGGGTACTGGCACCACCCTTTCTGTCTCTCTACAAAGGTTTATTCCTTCTAATTTCCCATCAGCTAGGTTGTTAGATTTTAAAATTATCCATGTTATAGTCTACATTTTAACTTAATTCAATCTTTAGCTCTGAGACCTTAAACAAATCAACATCTTATGGCCTTATTTGCTTCCTCTACTAAATAAATATTTTGAAGTTCCAGTAGTCCACTGTAGCAGCCCTTTATTATGTGTTCAGTTCAGAGCTAGGTATTCTGTGAAAAGTATAGTTGAAGAAATGATAGCAATCCTCAGATGTTTAGCTTACTGTTATGTAAAAGAAAGTGTAAAATTAGTTCATGTAGTTCCAGTAAGCAGATTTGCTTGGAGGGGTAAATTCTATAGAGGGCAGGATGTAGTTCAGGAAGAGCTTTTTTGGGGAAAAAAAAAGACTATCCAAGTATTTGGATTTCTCCTTTGGCTGTTTTCTGATTTTTTTTGCCCCTTATTTAAGAGTACCTGTAGTTTCTTGAACTCTGCCCTTGATTCTTCAAGATAGCGAAACTGAATTTTCTATTAAAATTTAGTAGTCCTGGGACCAGCAATTGGCTTAATGGCTATGTCACTGGACTCCCATGTAGTCAACCATGGTTCGAGTCCCAGACCCAGTGGCTTAAACTCACCCCAGGCACGTGTGCATGCGTGCCCAAGATCCCGAGAGGAGAATGGAGGAGAAGGGATTGAGGCGTGGCCATCCCCCCTGTGGGGTGATTTCTTGCTTTCTATCTCTCTGTCTCTGTCTTTCTGGTGAGCGCATGTGCCCTATAGCAAAAACCTCTTGGGGAAAAAAAAAAAAATAAGTTCAATAGTCCTCTATGACATGGACTGAAAGCTGTCCAAATGGGAAACATGGAGCCATTTCTTCCAAGTATTGATCTCCTCCCAGTATCTTCCTGCTTTTTGTGGCCCTCCAGTATTTTCAGATAGCTGTTTTCAGTATTGTTCACAATTTATAGCTATTATCTGAGAGAGAGTTGGTCTAATTGCCACTATTTGATCATATTAAAACTAGAAACCCTAAGGTCCCTTAACTTGTTGTTAGGTCTGCTGATTTTTCTTGTTTCTCTTTGATTTATAAAATATAATTAAAAGGCTATGAAGGGAAAATAAGAGCCCAAGATAAAATATAGGGTTGTTGGAAAAGTCATGATGTGCTTTTACGTGGGAAAATACAGCATGACTTTTCCGATGACCCTGATATATCATTGTTTTTTTTAAAAATAGATGGCTTTATCTATCTTCTGCATTTTCAGCATGACAGGAGTTCTACGGAAGAAGAGATGGAAGTGGAAAAGATGAAACATAAACTCCAAGAGAAAGAGGAACTAATTAGCAGTTTACTGGACCAACTTGCCCGTGCACAGGCAGAGCAAACAGCACAGGTAGGCGTGTAAGTTAGGAGGTTAATGAATTACTAAAGCCAGTGGAGTAGTATATGGCAAGTACATGTTTCTAGATGCCTAATGGATATTTGCAGTATTTGTTCTGTTACATTTGGTTTTTAAGTTTCTTTCCCTTTTTTTTGTTTTAAATTTTACTTGAGCTTTCTCTTTTGTGTTTAACTTTGTACATCATCTTGTTTTGTCTTCTGTTCTAAAATGATTTTTTTCTTTTTTATTTAATGTTTCATGTGTCCTCATTTTTGAGCTATTCTGATTTATATTTCATGTATTATATAATTTTCTTAATTTCAAAAACTCCTTTTTAAATAGATTACAATTTTTTAAAATAATGCCTCTAGTATGCTTTCATTGCCTATAAGCATATTATTCTGCTCCTGAGTCTTTTTGTGCTTTCTGAAAAAACTTTATTTCTTCATGAGAGACAAAGATGGGAGAATGGAGAGATTAGCACCTCAATAGGGTCCTTACATCATGATTGACCCCTGACCTCAGCCAGCCTGGATCATGGCCAGTGTGCACAGGGAGACTTCTGGATATGAACCCAGGCCCTTTCTTGTGTGTTTTTTTTTTTTTCATAATAACTTCATATGGGATTTGACCTTGATCCTTTTCAGCTGTTTATTTTTGTGTGAAATTGGATTTCCTAAGTATTTAGAAGTATAATTCTCTCAGGCAAACTTTTTTTTACCTAACAGACTTCCTTTTTCTGTTGTGTTCAAAGATATGGGAGCTAGATTACTGAGCTTCTCTGGCTTTCTTTGTACTGTTCTTCACTTTGATCTGTATCAGGATGGTCCAATAGAAATAAGTTTACTGGTAATTATCAAAAACTGAAACAATTTGGGAACAGCAGGTAGCATGGTGGTTAAAGCACTAGACTCCCACTTAACAGATTGTGGTTCAAGTCTCAGATACGGTAGCTTGAAAATTATGCTGGGTATGTGTCTATCCATGCCCAAAAATCCCAGGGAAAGAAAGGAGGAGATGGGATTGTGGTGTGGTCATACCCTCTCCTCCCCACAGAGGGTGATTTCTCACTTTCCCTCTCTCTGTTTCTCATCAAGCACACGCACCTTACGGCAAAAACCTAAAGAGAACAAAAACAAAAAACTAGAACAACTCATATGTCCATCAACAGATGAATATTTAAACAAATGGTGGTATATCCATATAGTCAGATACTACTTAGAAATAAAAAGGAATGAACTCTGTTAGTCATATGCTGTCACTTAAAGTTTTTTTCTGAAGTTGATTTATTTTCATGAGAAAGAGACAGAGATAGAGACGGACAGAGAGACAAATACCACTAAAAGGGTCTTCATGCTATGATCCTTTCTCTAGTCCTGCAGCTAACCAGGATCATGGATTATACCCACAGGTTTGCTTGGCGTGTTCAGGTAGTAGACCCAGGCACTAAATCTAGAGCCTTCCCATGCAGCTTCTAGCATTGTCTTTACTGCCTACATTGCCACAGCTGGGCCTATGCCTTCACTTCAAACTTAACATGCTATGTTTATCTTTGAACTAGAAAAATAATTCATTTATAATTAAATTTATATTTATATTTCAATTTAATTATCAATTGTGATTTATATTGGTACCAACTGTTACTCATGCTGTTTCTATGAACTATTCAAATAAACACATCGTATCGTTACATAGGGTATAGAAAAAATTATTCAGTTGAATCAACCCATTAACACTGTACACTTGTTACTTGCAAAACACTCCCCAACAGTATCTTTATTTATTTACTTTTTAGAGAGATTTTTGCCATAGGGTGCATGTGCTTGCCAGAGAGACAGAGACAGAAAAGGAGAAATCACCCCTCAGGGGAATAGCCATGCTACAGTCCTTTCTCCTTGATTCTCCTCTCAGGATTTTGGGCATACACACACACGTGGCTGGCATGAGTTTTAAGCTGCCGGGTCTGGAACTAGAATCGTGGCCGAGTACATGGGAGTCTGGCGATGTAACCATTACTCCATCTGCTGGTCCCAGCAATATCTTATGTAATGATGCGACAGATAAAGTTAAATATAATCATACCAAAATAAAGTTGTATTTAATGGAAAGATAATAACTCAATTTTTAACTTTAATTAAAAGGTAGTAGTTTTACATTTTTTGTTTTGTTTAGGCACATTTCATGTCCTTGATAGCCACATGTGACTAAATGATACTAAATTATACAGCATAAAACATCTTGGATTTCCTGAGTATTGGAGTATGGGAAAGCCCTGGTGCTGTTCTAAAATTAGTCAGCTGTGCGTTTCAACACATACAGATTGGCTGTTTGGTTTTTCTGTTCTCAGAGCCATTGTAGCTTTCAATGATTTATCCCTACTTGCTTACATTGTAGGGTTTGTAGGACTGTCTTCCCAATTTTACTTTAAATACTGTTTGTAGTTTTTTTGGTTTTGTTGTTATCATATTATGATACATATTTTGGTTTTTGTCCAGGGTTCCTGGCTCCAAAGTATTTGGCCTTTGCCCTTAATTCCTGAAGTAGCTTAAAGACAGCTTCAGAGAGACAAAAGTAAAAGATAATCTCACCTTCCCCTGCCTTCCTTTCACCTACTCCCTTTTCTTCCTAAGGTAGGCCATAGAAACTAGCCCCAATATGACTGATAGCAGCTCTAATAATTCCTTTTTTTAAGACCCTTAATCCAAGGGACCAGCAGGTGGTGTGGTGGTTAAGGTGCTGGACGCTCCCACATGGCCGACCATGGTTCAAGTCCCGGACCTGGTGGCTTCCTTTCTCACTTTTCCTCTCTCTCTTTCCTCCTCTGTGTCTCTCTCTAGTCAAATTAAAATAAATGAGTGAATAAATAAAATTAAATAAATAATAAAAAAAAAAAGACCCTTGATCTGGAGGATTTCTGTTGTATACCAGAGAGGAGGGAATGCCACACTTATCCCTACTTGCTTACATTGTAGGGTTTGTAGGACTGTCTTCCCAATTTTACTTTAAATACTGTTTGTAGTTTTTTTGGTTTTGTTGTTATCATATTATGATACATATTTTGGTTTTTGTCCAGGGTTCCTGGCTCCAAAGTATTTGGCCTTTGCCCTTAATTCCTGAAGTAGCTTAAAGACAGCTTCAGAGAGACAAAAGTAAAAGATAATCTCACCTTCCCCTGCCTTCCTTTCACCTACTCCCTTTTCTTCCTAAGGTAGGCCATAGAAACTAGCCCCAATATGACTGATAGCAGCTCTAATAATTCCTTTTTTTAAGACCCTTAATCCAAGGGACCAGCAGGTGGTGTGGTGGTTAAGGTGCTGGACGCTCCCACATGGCCGACCATGGTTCAAGTCCCGGACCTGGTGGCTTCCTTTCTCACTTTTCCTCTCTCTCTTTCCTCCTCTGTGTCTCTCTCTAGTCAAATTAAAATAAATGAGTGAATAAATAAAATTAAATAAATAATAAAAAAAAAAGACCCTTGATCTGGAGGATTTCTGTTGTATACCAGAGAGGAGGGAATGCCACACTGAGAGGCCAAGAGCCTGAACAGACAGGCCTTCCTAGGTTTTTCCACCCAGTTTCAGCAATTCATGCCATAAAACTTCAAAGCAGGGGGGCAAAAGTGGCATAGCAGTAACACACTGTGATGCTGGACCCACACAGGAAGATGTTCACGACCAAAAGTCTCCTGTATACTATGGGTGTCTCTGCATATAGGCCCCTGTGACCTGGACTGCCTGAGACTGGGGCTGGATCACGGCATAAGCACTTAGTTGGAGATGCCTGTCTCTCTCTCTCATGGAAGAAATGAAAACAAACAAATCCAAAAGCACAGGGTCTCAAAGTTTTCTGATAGCCGGACATGTGGAGATTTCTGGAGTGTGGTTCTCCCAAGGAGTTCCAGAAGGCTGTGTTTCCCTTTCCACATGACTTGCCCTATGCATCTGTTCATCTGTGTCCTTTAAAATATCCTTTATAATAAACTGGTTAACATAAGGTTTTCTGGATCTCTGTGAGTTGCCCTAGCAAATTTAATCAAAACCAAGAAGGGAATAGGGTTATAGGAATCCTGATTTATAGCCACATGGTCAGAAGCATGTGCAAACAACCTGGGGCTGTGAATGGCATCTGAAGTGTGAGGGGGCAGTGTTAGGGACTGAGCCTCCAAATTAGGGGATCTGATGACTGTCTCTGGGTAGATACTATCAGGATTGAATTGAATTGGAAGACACTCAGCTGGTATCCACTGTAGAACTGCTTGCTTATTGGTGGGAGAAATCTCCACACTTTTGGGGATCACAGAAGTCTTCTATGTTGATTGTTGAATAATAGTGTAGGAGAGTCTGAAACTGAGTTTGCTTTTTCCATTCAACTATTCAGTTGTGCTGTCTCAGAGAAATTCAGTATTTCAATTTAGAGAAATTGAGAAATGACTGCTGCCACTTCTGTCTTCCTCTGGCAAATGTATTTTGATATGTATTTTAAAGAACCGTAGTATATGCAGTTACCTTTTGTGTTAAGTGGAAATTACAAGGAAATATGGTAGGTATTTCAGGCTAATGAGAAAGGGAGGCCAAAGAATTTTAAGAATGCTAATTCTTTTGCTTAAATAAAAACAATTTTCCCTTCTATATGTTCAGTTGGATAAGAATTCTACAGAGATGGAAGAATTTGTAAAGATGAAACAACAACTCCAGGAGAAGGAGGAACTCATTAGCACTTTGCAAGACCAGCTCAGCCAGACGCAGGCAGAGCAAGCTGCACAGGTAGGGGTACAAAGAACCTCATAAATATTAGGTTGAAGAATTATGAAATCTAGTAGGTTCTTACATGGCATGTTAATTCAGATAGTTGCTTTCAAAAATCTTAGTAGAGGGAACCAGCAGTTAGCGTAATGACTATGTCGCTGGACTCCCACGTAGTTGACCGCGGTTCGTGTCCCGGACCCGGTGGCTTAAAACTCACGCCAGGCGCGTGTGTGTGTGTGCCCAAAATCCCTAGAGGAGAATGGAGGAGAAGAGATTGCGGCTTGACCATCCCCCCTGGGGGGTGATTTCTTGCTTTCTGTCTCTCTGTCTGGTGAGCGTACGCGCCCTATAGCGAAAACCTCTCCAAAAAAAAAAAAAAAAAAAATCTTAGTAGATAAAAGTATGGTAGAGTGTTATAGTGGAAATTAGAAAGATGTTTTGGTAGAAGAAATTAGAATTACGGTGGGTAAGTGTGTCATTAGGGAACACCAGGAAACCTCAGAAAGTGTTATTGGGCACCTGCAGATGGCATAATGGTTATGTCGCTGGACTTCCACGTAGTTGACCATGGTTTGAGTCCGGGACCCAGTGACTTAAAACTCATGCGGGGCATATCTGCACACATACCCAAAATCCCGAGAGGAAAATGGAGGAGAAGGAATTACAGCATGTCCATCCCTCCTAGGGAGTGATTTCTCACTTTCTGTCTCTCTGTCTCTGGTGAGCGCAAGTGCCTTATAGCAAAAAATCTCTCTTAAAAAAAAAAAAAGTGTTATTTACCTTGATGAATTTGCCACAGCCTAAATGATGGCGGATTCTTAGTTTTCCTGGTCCAGAGCTTGACTTTAATAGCCTTTAGAGATTCAATCTCAGGAATAGGCTCATGCTGAGTTCAAAAGAAACTGATCAGTTAACCAAAAAGAATACAAATCACTAGATCTATTCTTTTTCCCTAAACTAAAATCTTAATGAGAAGGGACCAGCAGTTAGCGTAATGGCTATGTCGCTGGACTCCCACGTAGTGGACCGCGGTTCGAGTCCCAGACCCGGTGGCTTAAACTCACGCTGGGCGCGTGTGCATGCATGCCCAAGATCCCAACAGGAGAATGGAGGAGAAGGGATTGCGACATGGCCATCCCCCCTGGGGGGTGACTTCCTGCTTTCTGTCTCTCTGTCTCTCTCTGTCTGTCTGACGAGCACACGTGCTCTATAACAAAAACCTCTCCACACACACAAAAAAAATATTAATGGGAAGATAACTTACTATCAGAAAATTACTTAGTATATGATAAGAAGGTAGTATAGGCTATGAGATTTATTGTTAAAAACCACTAGTATGTGACATTCTTCTTTATATTTATTTTTATACCAGGACAAGATTATTTGAACTGATATCCTCAACTCTATATTTTTCTAAATGTCCTGGTTAGCCACTTATCGTCTTATTTTTTTTCCTTTGGGAATGTTTAATAATCATGAAACTTTTTTTTTTTTTTTTTTTTACCCTTAAGTACCTTGGCACATAGCTAAATCTTACCTATCAGGTATTTACTTTATTGGTAAATTTTAGGATTAGTGTTTCCTTCCATCTATAGATAGTCTATTGCTGTGTGTACTGGTAAAATTATGTGTCTTAAAATTCTTAATTTTACCTATTAGTTTTGATTGTGTGTTTGTTTTTTTTTTTCTTTTTCTTTTTTTGGAGAGGTTTTTGCTAGAGGGCGCGTGCACTCATCGGAAAGACAGAGAGAGACAGAGAGACAGAAAGCGAGAAGTCACCTCCTGGGGGGATGGCCACGCCGCTATCCCTTCTCCTCCATTCTCTTCTCGGGATCTTGGGCACGCACGCACATGTGCCTGGTGTGAGTTTTAAGCCACCGGGTCCGGGACGCGAACCACGGTCGACTACGTTGGAGTCCAGCAACATAGCCATTACGCTAACTGCTGGTCCCTTGATTGTGTTTTTGAATGGAGAAATTCAAAACATGTTTTTTAACCTATGAGTCTGCTTAAAACATAGAAAGCTAAGATATATAAATATTTAGTTAACACATCCCTCATAATGCAGGCTATTCAGAATGTGTCCAAAAAAAGGGAGCAATGTAGGACCAGCAGATGGAGTAATGGTTACATTGCTGGACTCCCACATAGTCAAACCATGGTTTGAGTCCTGAACCCAGCAACTTAAAACTCATGCTATGCATGCCCAAAATCCCAAGAGGAGAATGGAGGAGAAGGGATTGTGGTGTTGCCATCCTCTCTGGGGGTGATTTCTTGCTTTCTGTCTCTTTGTCTCTCTCTGTCTCTCTGGCAAACACATGTGCCCTAAAGCAAAAATCTCTCTCTAAAAAAAAAAAAAAAGGCAGCAATGCAGACAAAGTATTTTGAGAGGCGAAAGAGGCTACTGGGAAGGTAACAGTCAAGGAAGATTGCATAGAAAAGTTGGGATTTAGGCAAAACCTAAAGGAATGGTGTAAGCAAAGTCTCAGAGGAGGAAAAACTATGGTACATTTACAGAAAAGGATATTAGATATGTTTGACATGCAAGACTCCAGTGCCTGCCAATTTAAAACATAGGATTCCAAATTCATAGTGAAGTCAGAATTAAGATAATAAAAAATTATGAGGATTTTCTTTTCATACCAAGAAAGAGAGGCAAGGACAATTCAAGGTGTCATGAACTAAGAAATGAGCATACTAGAAAGACCTTTTGAAAACAGGTAAGCTAAGAGTTTATTGACATGATACCCAAGATCTTAAGGAAATAAATAAACAGCACACATGTTATAAAAATGAGACACCGTAAAAACAGGGATATTGAGAAGCTCAAAATCAATCCAATTGTTTCTATCGCTTTTCTTTTAAGAGTCAGTTTCAAATGAGCACAATCTAGCTCAGTACTACACTTAAATGTCAGCTGAAAATAGCTGTCGGGGGTGGTGTGAATTTGGAAGCACACAAAGTTCTTTAATAGAAGTAGATCTTAGAAAAATAAGACTAGAAAGATAGATTTGTATTTCTAGTTGTAGAATATCTTTCTTTTTTTTAGAGAGAGAGATTTTTGCAATAGGGTACATACACTCCCTAGAGAAATAGACAGAAAGCAAGAAATCACTCCACAGGGATGACGTCCACGCCACATCCCTTTTCCTCCATTCTCCTCTTGGGATTTTGGGCATATATGCACATGCGCCTTGCATGAGTTTTAAGCTGTTAGATCTGGGACACGAGCCACAGTCAATACGTGGGAATCCAGCAACATAACCATTATGCCACCTGCTGGTCCCAGTTGTAGAATATCTTGAATAGAAGATACATTTATTTGAATTTTCATGTATAGAGTGTGGGAATTTCACTGAAAAGTTTTTGAGTGATATTGAAAGAAGTTCCTAGAGTTTAACAGAAATCTAACTTCACTTTATGTATTTAATCTTTTGGAACTTTTAAAAACATATATCTCTTATATATCTTAAAACAATTTTAGTAGCCATGAAAAGGTATTTTTTCATCATTTATATTTAGGCTGACTATGAATTTGGTTACAGACTTTGCTTTCTCTCATGTTTTACTCGTTAGGCCTATGTCTTTTCCAGCATTCTCATCCTTGACATTCAGACTTTTATTTAGGTAAAGCTAGTGTCTATTTTCTCAGTGTCTATCCTTAGAGAATTGTCTTGTGAGTTTTGTTTGTGTGATATTCGGGGAGCGTAACTTGTATAGTTTCTCTGGTGTGTCTTCAGTTGAGTTCCATGCAGCAGGTGGTCCGAGAGAAAGATGCCCGCTTTGAGACACAAGTTCGTCTTCATGAAGATGAGCTTCTTCAGTTAGTAACCCAGGCAGATGTGGAAACAGAGATGCAACAGGTGTGTTGCTAAAACTTTGTAGAATGACTATTATTTTGGTTAGCATTTAATGAAACCATCACAGTCACCCACTTTCCTACCCTTATCATTGCTCTTCATCTGGTCCTGGTGTGCTCTTTATTGTTTTTTTTTTTTTTTTTGGTGTCCTAGTCTTCTGTTGCATATTAACTATTTATTTTTTTCTTATCCTTACCTTACCTTATACCCCTCTAATCAGGGTGTTGGTACTCAAAAGCTGAGTTTAACTGGTGAATGGATGTGGTAGTCAGAAATTGATTCTCTTCAGTTTGCTGATTGTAGCTACCTTCATGCATGAAAGTCCTGATTGAAAACTTCAAATCAATGAAGTCAGTTTTAAACTTTCTAAAACCTGGACATGAAAAGGAGTGATTTTGAAGTTATGAAGTCTTTTATCAAATCAGTAATTCTTTTTAAAAATTTTTTCATTGAGTAGATTTTGAAAATTGGCTTCATTGTATTTGAGTTCACCATCTACTAACTCAAAGGTATTTGTTTTTACTTAGTGTATAGTGCAGTGTGGTACTGAAAGGCACTCCGGTGATACTTTGTTTTGATGAGTTTTATTGTTTTTGAGTGAAAAATGTTTCCAAGTTCTAAGCAATCCTTTCGAATGCACCACTAAATAAAGTTAATACAATAGTTTGTTATATATTAATTGTACATTGACTTATGTATTTATTTTCAAGTTCCTATCCTGTGTATGAAACGAGGAGAAGAGAAATGGTTCTTGCCCATGAGAATGTTTTCTTTGGTGGGTGAGATATACATGTGCCTATGTTATTTAGGCACAGGACATGAACTATATAATTTTCAAAGTGGGTATGTGTCCTTTTTCTCTAATTATCAGAAAGACTCCCTAATTCAGGGACTTGCTCATTTCTGAGTTTGATTGTTGTCAGTGCTCTAGAGAAGACATTTGAGAGATTCTTTCTTTGGTTGCTGGATGGGGAGCATGGCATGCTGGTGTCCTATCTTTAATCTGTTATCTTCAGCATCCCAAAATTTAAGTACACAAATTTATGTGATAATTTGAAAGATAGAGAAATAATGATAGTCATTAGTTAGCACATTAAATTTGAAACATTTTCTTCTCAGAAATTGAGGGTTCTGCAGAGGAAGCTTGAAGAACACGAAGAAGCCTTGCTGGGTCGTGCTCAGGTTGTGGACTTGCTGCAACAGGAGCTGACTGCTGCTGAGCAGAGAAACCAGGTACTGCCTCATGATCTTTATTGCCTGCCCGGGAGTATTCATTTCCAGCTTGGTTTGCCAGGTAACAGGTATAAAAGTCTATTGGAAACCTTCAGAGAATTGATCCTATTGATTCATTCCTTCAGCAAATAAAATACACACTGTGTGTAAAGGGTGGCAATGCAGTGATATGCAAACCAAATGTAGTTTCTTCCCTCTTGGAACATATATTTCACATCTTCCCTCCCCCCCATTTAAAAAATTTTATGGTTTATTATTTACATTCAATCATTGTGCATCTCTGTAGTACACGATATGGTTTTTCAAAGTATGTGTGTAACACATGGCAATCAAATCAAAGATATCACCATATACATCATTTTCATTGTTGTGCTTTACATTCTTGTGTCTGTTGTTTCTTCCCTTTGCCCCTCCCACATGTTCACATCTGCACTGTTGCTCTTTCCTTTGTCATTTTAGGTCTGAGTTCCTAGGTTCTCTAGAATGTCATATTTTCCTTGAGTAAGCTTCCTTTCATTATTTTACCTTCTCCAACTTCAGTGATTCTATGCTTTATGTACTATTCCTTTGCTTGTTTTTGTTGATTGACTTTCTGTTGGATTGAAATGATCCCATCATGTAATATTCCCTTGTATTTAAAGGTGATTAAGAATACTGGTATAAAAAAAAAAGAATACTGGTATTTTAAAATCTTAAAACTCAAGTTGTCCATTCCTTTCAAGTTGTCATCCTGTTACTCCCTTCCTCATACTGTCCTGATCTTCATTCTTACTCAGAGCCATTCATCTTTTCATGTGATTCCTTCAGTTTCTTGCTTCTTTCTTGGCCTTTCTCCTTTCTCCCTGACTTATATGGACTCAGGCTTGACCACTGGATTCCTCTTTTTTGGTTTTTGCTATATTTGCATTCACCCCAGGGTGATGGGGGAGCAGTCACCTTCTAAAGTGTATGGCCACACCACAATCCCTTCTCCATTCTCCTCTTGGGATTTTGGACACACACACACACACACACACACACACACTCTCTCTCTCTCACACACTCCTAGTGATTTTCAAGACACCAGTTCTGGGACTTGAACTGCGCAGTTGTCCATGGGGGATCCAACTGCCTTAACTTCCATACCACTTGCTGGTCCACTAGATTACTCTTTTACCAGTCCTTGGGTTCCCTGTGTCCCTTCTTCTCCCATCTAAGAGGCCAAATCCTGATACAATATTAGTACTATAGTACCCATTTTCTGCTTGTTCATCTGGGTGCTGGCTTGCAATTGGAGAAAGTAACCCTCTCCTCTCTTCTTAACTTTTAGCTTTCCTTTTGGAAGAAACTTTGTCTTTAGCATGGAAACATGTTCTCATTTCCTTCATCCTCATAAAACCCATGCCCTCATACCCTTACCCTAAGGCTCTTTTTGACTGTCATCAGATAATCAAGTTAAATCCCAGTGGTGGCACTTACTAGAGAATTATCATACATGTAGTTACATCCATGTGACTGTTAGCACATTATGGTTTTTTTTTCCTTTTATAATTGAGATTTATTGGTTGTGTCAAGGGTCAGTACAGACATTTCAGTTTGTACCCAATTCTTAACATATGTACGAAAAATTTAAAAAGCCAAGTACAGTGGGACCAGCAGTTAGCGTAATGGCTATGTCGCTGGACTCCCACGTAGTCGACCGCGGTTCGAGTCCCAGACCCGGTGGCTTAAACTCACGCTGGGCGCGTGTGCATGCATGCCCAAGATCCCAACAGGAGAATGGAGGAGAAGGTATTGCGACATGGCCATCCCCCCTGGGGGGTGACTTCCTGCTTTCTGTCTCTCTCTGTCTGTCTGGTGAGTGCACGCGCCCTATAGCAAAAACCTCTCCAAAAAAAGAAAAAGGAAAAAAAAAATACCAAGTATAGTGATTCTTTTTAAGTTATTCCAGTGACATTCCAGCTTCAAATTTGTAGGCAAATTTTCCTTAAGAGGATATCAAGAACCACTGTCTTCAGATGTTGAAAGCTGTTATATAAGTCCCACCCAATCACAGTTTAGTATCATGCAGACTACATACTTCAAATTTCCAATCTTTCACAGCACATTAACAGAATTATTAGGAAAACTGGACCACCACAACCAAAGATGTTAGAGTGCACACAATTCTGATAGGGAGAGCAACAATCAAAGAGTAGTTTTCTTTAGGAAACAGTACTACTAAAAAACATAATAGAAGTAATTTAAAATATTCAAGACACATTAAATGCATGACTGTCGGGACCAGCAGTTAGTGTAATGGCTATGTTGCTGGACTCCCACGTAGTCGACCGCAGTTCAGGTCCTGGACCCGGTGGCTTAACCTCCGGCCGGGCGCGTGTGCGTGCATGCCCAAGATCCCTAGAGGAGAATGGAGGAGAAGAGATTGTGGCTTGGCCATCACCCCGGGGGGGTGATTTCTCGCTTTCTGTCTCTCTGTCTCTCTCTGTCTGTCTGACGAGCGCACGCGCCCTATAGCAAAAACCTCTCAAAAAAAAAAAATGCATGAATGTGACTCCAAACTGCCACTTAGTATGCTTTGTATTTAAGATATAAAAACTACCCACCGGCCCCCACCTATGGAATGTTAAGCTGACATGCAAGAGAGTTGAAGCCTCCTATAAGTCAATATCCCACTATTTTCTGGTTGCACTGAAAAATAACCGGTAAATGATTTCACCTCTTAAAAAAAAAGCATTTACACTTAAAAAATGTGATGAGGTGGGATTCTCTCCTTCTTAAAAATGTTTCTAGAGCTACTAAAAAACTTGCATTTACAAATCAGTTGATAAAAATATTCCTCTGGATTGTACAAGAAGGGAGACAGGGACCATTGATAAGACATGGTATATGGTATTACTCAGACTTGACTTCTTTCTCGCCTTCTTCATCAGAGGGTGGACTCTCCTTATTTTTAGTTTCTCCGTTTTCTGCAGGTAAATCTTGTTTAGTGTCTTGGTTGGCCACTTCAACCTGTTTCCCCTTTGCTCCCCTTTTCCCTTTTGTTTGCACTCTTTTGTCTGAAGATTTATCCTTCCTTGCCGCCTTTTTTGGCTTCATCTTCACTTTTGCAGGAGGTTTAGCCAACAACCTCGCCAATCTCCTCTTGGACTCTTCCTTGGCCACCCCCTCGGCTAAGCTGACCTTCCTCTTGGGCATCTTGACTGTGGACAGGGTGCGTGCTGTGTGCCTGATGAGGCCGCGACGCACCTAGAACCTTTGCGGAGTTTAGCGGATAAACCTTACCCAGCACATTATGTTTTAATAGTACTATGGGTCCTTAAAATAATGACCTTATAAATTAGATATTATTATCTCCATTTCACAGATGAAGAAACTCAGCCATAGAGCACTCATTCATACCCAGGTTGGTTTGGTAGGCATCATACTGTCATCAGTTAAATAAGGGTAATAGAATATATATCATGGGTATTGGGGCCAGCAAGTGGCATGGCGGTTAAAGTGCTGGACTCCCACATGGCAGACTGTGGTTTGAGTTCCAGACCTGGTGACTTGCTTTCTCACTTTCCCTTTCTCTCTCTGGTCAAATTAAGAATATAATAGTAACAAATAAAATAAAATAAATCTTAAAAAAATATATGTCATGAGTATGTCGTTGGATCACAAAATAGTATATAAAAGTACTTAGTACAGGGACCAGCAGCTGGCATAATAGCTATGTCGCTGGACTCCCACATAGTCGACCGTGGTTCGTGTCCCGGACCTGGTGGCTTAAAACTCACACCGGGTGCGTGTGCGTGCGTGCCCAAGATCCTGAGAGGAGAATGGAGGAGAAGGGATTGTAGCGTGGCCACCCCCCCTGGGGGGTGATTTCTCGCTTTCTGTCTCTCTGTCTCTCTCTGTCTGTCTGGCGAGCACACACGCCCTATAGCAAAAACCTCTCAAAAAAAAAAGTACTTAGTACAGTGTTTGGCAGATAATAACAGCACAGAAAAGAATAATACATTCAAAAGAATAAAACTGGTTAGACTTTCTTGTTTCTACTTATTAAAGCAATTTTTAAAAAAATATTTCTTTCATAAGTGAGAGAGCCAGAATGAGAGAGAGAAAGAGAGACAAGCACTGTCCCACAGTGAACTCCACTAGCTCTCTCAGGCAGCCAGAATCACGGGTTTACAGGTCAACCTGAGAACTGAACCTGCAGTAATCCCTATAGATTCAGTCTCACTTGAATAGTGTGTTATTGCTGCACCACTCACCTGGCCCTCCTCCAGATTCTTTAGCCTCTGTAAGTAATTAATTACTAAATTCTGCAGATTTTACCTCTTAAGTAATTCTCGCGTCTGTCCTCTCCTCTTCACCAATATTGTCAGTACCCTTGTTCTGGTTCAGGAACTTCACATACACAGCACTTCTGACAGATTTTTCTGTCTCTTCTGTTCTCTCTTCTGCCTCAGCCCCAAAAATATTCTCTATAAAATGACAGTCACAGGAACATGTCCAAAAATCAGATTTGACCAAGGCTCTTCATTACTTAAAGGTGTAAATTCCAAGTCTTTTAACAATTTGGAAGCTTTATGTAAAGATCCTTATGATTTGGTGTATGATTATTTTTCTAGCCTTCTAGCGCCTGCCTTTTCCTGCTAGAACTTTTCCTGTTAACAACCCCAGACTACATAGATAACCATGTTTGATTCTTTTTTGTCTTACCTCTATGCTTTTCTTTGCCTATTGCTCTGCCTAAAGTACTGTTTTTTTTTCTTTTATTATTATTCGTACATTAAATCTCTATACATCATTTAGATTGTGAAGAGACTTTACCCAGCATGATTTACACCTCAGTCCAGCCCAGTTGAGATTATTATACACATCCTCGTCAACAGATAATAAACCTTATCTGTGTTCTGCATGTGTCTTACCTCTCCATTCCCCCCAAAATTTCCTTGCCTATTTGCCTAGCTGATTCCTCATTACTTTTTTTTTCAAAGAGGTTTTTGCTATAGGGCGCATGTGCTCACCGGACAGACAGAGACAGACAGAGAGACAGAAAGCAAGAAGTCTCCCCCCAGGGGGGATGGCCACACCGCAATCCCTTCTCCTCCATTCTCCTCTCAGGATCTTGGGCATGCATGCACATGTGCCTGGCATAAGTTTAAGCCACCAGGTCCAGGACTCAAACTGCAGTCGACTACATGGTAGTCCAGCAACATAGCCATTACGCTAACTGCTGGTCCCTGATTCCTCATTACTTAAATCTTAGATTAGGTAGCTTTTCTTTCAGTAAGGCCACCCTAACCCAGCCTCCTTCTCTGTTTCCATTTATACCTTGTAACTATCTCATGGCTGCTATCATTTCATACTATACTCTTCTGTTTTAGTGTGCCAGAGCTCTGAGTTTCCTGAGGGCAGAGTCTGGACTCATTCAGTGTTTATTGAGTACTATTCTATGCCACATACTGTGCTAGGAGCTGGAAAACAATAAGAATAGAATAGAAGATATAGTCTCTTCCCTTATGGAACTCATACTTTATTTCTTTTCGTAAGAATTATTTATTGAATTTTATTTATCATTATTATTAAAGTTTTTTAAATTTGCTGCAGGGTACCTGCATTTACCAGAGAGTGAGAAAGAGAGAGAAAGTGAGAAAGCAAGTTACCAGGTCCAGGATTTGAACCATGGTTGGCCATGTGGGAATCTAGCCCCTTAACCACCACACCACCTGCTGGCCCCAAGGAACCCATTTTCTTTTCTTTTCTTTTCTTTTCTTTCTTTTTTTTTTTGAGAGGTTTTTGCTATAAGGCACGTGCACTTGCCAGAAAGACAGAGAGAGACAGAGAGACAGAAAGCGAGAATCCACCCACCCCCCCAGGGGAGATGGCCACGCCGCATCCCTCCTCCTCCATTCTCCTCTCAGAATCTTAGGCATGCATACATGTGCCTTGCGTGATTTTACGCCGCCAGGTCTGGGACTTGAGCCAAGGCCGACTACATGGGAGTCCAGCAGCATAACCATTACTCCAACTGCTGGTCCCTAAGGAACCTGTTTTCTAATTGGACACACAATTAAAAGATAATGATATAAATAAATACACACACACACACACACACACATATAAGTAAAGACCAGCAAAAGTGTCAGGATGCAAAAATGTAGGGTCTTATGACATTGTAGGTTTTTTCCCAGATGCTAAAATCCATGTGATGCTGGGAAAAGGTATTTCACTGTGCATATTGAAATAAAAAAAAAATATTCATGACTCATGAGGCTTTTCTTTTTTTTTTAAGAGTCTCTCTCAGCAATTACAGCAGATGGAAGCTGAGTATAAGACTTTAAAGAACACTCTGGAAACAGAAAGGCAGGAGTCTAAGATTCTGATGGAAAAGATGGAACTTGAAGTGGCAGAGAGAAAACTATCCTTCCATAACCTGCAGGAAGAAATGCATCATCTTTTGGAACAGTCTGAACAAGCAGGCCACGTTCAGGCTGAACTGGAGTCTCGGTACAATGGTTTGGAACAGAAGCACAAAGCAGAAATGGAAGAGAAGATTTCTCACATTTTGAGTCTTCAAAAGACTGAACAAGAGCTACAGTCTGCCTGTGGTGCTCTAAAGGATCAAAATTCAAAGCTGCTCCAGGAAAAGAACGAACAGGCAGTTCAGTCAGCCCAGGCCATTGAGCAGTTGGAAGGTCAGTGTTTGATTGCTTTGAAGCCCGTATCTCTAGTGCCAGATTGATTTGTGCTTCATGTTTTCAGGGATTTGTGGATGACATCAATTGCTCAATTGACTTGGATCAGTAGAAAGATTAAGAATGACATCCCTTTTAAACTCTGTGTTGTTTTCTTCCTGCCTCTGACCAAAGTTATAATCTGTCTCAATACTATAAATATTGGGATAGCCTGGTGGTGTGTTGGTTAAGGCTGCTGGATCCCACATGGTTGACAACATGTTTCAAGTTCCAGACTTGGTGGCTTGAAAAACACACTAGGTGCATGCGTGTGTGTGTGCCCAAAACCCCAAGAGGAGAATGGAGGAGAAGGGATTGCAGCAGGGCCATACCCCCTGGTGGGGGGTGAGGTGATTTCTTTCTTTCCCTCTCTTTCTGTCTCTCCCACACAGGCATACATCCTATAGCTAAAACTAACCTCCCCCCAAAATAGTATGTGTGTGTGTGTGTGTGTGTGTGTGTGTGTACATAAAATTATCATTATAGTATTAAAGACTAGTGAGGGAATGATACAGCTATTAAGTAGAATGCGATGTGAAACATGACTCCGATCTGAAGAGTTGAATGACAAATGAATAGGGTTTGGGTTAGTCTTGGAAAACTTAGGTTGGAACTAGTTGCATTGGAAGGGGGATTGAAATGCATGGACTCATCTTTAAATCTGAAGATGGATCTAAATGCTTTTCTTACAGGTGAAAATTTATTTTTAAAGAAAATTTTATCCTTTAAAGAGGTATAAAGAATACTTTTTTTTTTAAGAGTATGGTATTATAAACATAATCTATACCTATATAAATTGAAAATTTTAGAAGTTTTCAAGACCAGTACTCCATTTCATTAATACTCTCCCTGAATTATAACCTGACTGGTGTGTGCAGTGTACAGCTTAATGACATGAGATATGTGTCGTTAGGTGATTTTCTGATTGTATGAATATCGTACAGAGTGTTTACACAGAGCTAGGTGCTATATAGTCTGCTACACACCTGGGCTCTATGGTACCATTATATTTGTGGTCCTCTGTTGACTGAAGGTCGTTATGAAGCACATGACTACATCTAAAGGAATAATTTTAGAAATAATTAAGTAGATGATTTGTGTTCAAGAGCTGAACTTTAACCGGAAAGCCTTGAGGTGGTCATTATAGGGGAACAAATGTTCCATGAGCATACTGTTCTTTCTCTTCACTGAAGTGTGTTTGTTGTGTTCAAAACCGCAACATTTAAGTGGAGACTAAAGAAAATAAAATGAAAAATCCCTGAAGCCACTTTCAAAGAGGAAAGGAAAAACTAACTTTAAGAAAATGCTTAGGCTTATTTTATTTTGCATTTGAAGGAAGTGGTTTACTGAGGTGCCTTTTGGTCTTTGAGAGCATTTAATAGTTAAAAAAAAAAGTCATTGGTATAATTTTAATTAAGATAACTACTATTTGAACAGAATACTAACCTGTTTCTAGGCTTTAAGTTTCTAGGAAATATCCATACCAGCTCAAAACTGCTTTTCTTGAAATTATCAGCTGAACTTGCTATTGAAAGTAGTTAGATTACTTATGATATTGTGTGATCAACACAATGTTGGGGGAAAAGGAATTGAAGACAACTGTAGACAGCAGAGATAGTGTAATAAGAGAGTGGGAAAGGGCAGAGGGTCATACATGGGGTAAAAAACATATGTGTGTATATATATACATATATATATTTATATACATATAAATGAAAGTAGAAATGGAATATTATTGATGATAACATGCATGATTAAGCCACTATGCAGTTTATTCTAGATGGGAAACCACATTTAGTATGTTGTGATGATGCTCAGGGAATGAATGTAAATTAATTTAAAAAAAA